GATGGACAAGCCATGGCTTGTCAAATTTTATTTTCTGTTTATACAAAATAACAAGTTATAGATTTTAAAACGTTCGTTTCGGACTATAGAGCAAACAAAGAATTATAACTATTATCCGTGAAAAAAAAGAATGATCCGTGGATCTATGACTGTTTTGTGAGTAACTCTGTTTTGTGAGTAAACAAGCTATGAGAGTGCGGTTATCAGTTTTTAATAGAGAAAGATATTAGCTATAATTTGTCATAAAAATATGCTAAAAGATAGCAACTACAGGTGGTGTACCTTTCCAGTCTTTGAAGGGAAGTGATGCCAGATGATGTAGACGAAATGGATTCTTAACTTTAATATATGCGTTTTTAGCTCGGACAGCATTTTATACAACATGTTATAGTCACGACCTGTTACAGTGGTGATCATATTCTCTTAAATTGTGATTTTCTTTTTTTTCACGGTATTGAACGTCAGTTTAATTACAGTAATATAAGTAACTGGATGATTTTTTCATATCTATGCTATTTCTTGATTTTTCTGTTTCTATGGTAAACAATGATTCAAAGATTTGATTTTCTTCAGAGTTGTAAAGAGATATATAATTTCTCATTGATTGCTGTTACTCAGTTTTATTTCCAACTTTGTTTATTTTACCATTATAGGATTGAGGTACACTATTCAACAAGTTTTGAGGAATTTCACCATTTTAGGCCTATAAGGAACTCCCCTAACAAGGTTTTTCATTTTTTCCGGTTCAGAAAGGTTTTTATTCAATAAAATTGTATATTTGGAAAAATATATAAAATTGTTTCTTTTTTTCTTTTCTTCTTTGTAAACTAAAAAGCAGATTTTAAGCACATCTCAGGAGGAAGAAAAAAAAAGAAAGAACATAGACTATATTCTTCGTTCATTTCTTTTTTCCTCGATCCGTGATTCCTTTTCGTGTGAAAGGGAAAAAATGAGAAAAATTTCCAATTGTTTTAATTCCTTTAAATTTCACATTATTTTAACTTTTTACTAGCTTACAAAAATGGCCGGAGATAGTCTGTACTGTCCTATTACACTGGCGTTGTTCCAAGATCCCTTGCTTGCTGAAGATGGACACACATACGAACGAGCGGATATAGTTGAATGGATTGAAAACAACGGAGGTACAAGTCCACTAAGCCGTCAACCAATATCAGTTGAAAATTTACGTACAAACCGTATAGTAAAACAGTTAGCTGACGAAAAGAGAAATAATGATCCAAGAAAACAGCCTGCTGGTAAGTAAACTCAAAAGAACTATATAACAAGTAACCAGGATAAATTCTTTTGTCCCAAGTATCTTATTGTATATCAATACTTTTAGTAAATATCACCACCAATCTTCTATCCTCTCAATTGTCACCATCATCGACTGTTGTTTCAAATCCGGTAAGCAAGTATTTTATGAGACAGTTAGTCGAACATCAGTATCAGTGTTGACACGGACAATTCATTTTCCCACAACAGACTCATTCTGGCGTCCACTCAGAACACTAACAGAAAATTTATTTTTAAGTTAAATTTAGCATTCTTTTGCTCCTTCCGCTCAAAACATATTAAAAAAATGTCATTTTGCCAATATTTTCCTCAAAGGGGTTTTAAAAACTTTAAGGAAAAGATAGGACAAATACTAAATAGCGATTATTTTCTCAAGCAAGGTTGGGCTGCTCAGAGCAAACGTTGTAGTAAAAACCAAATTCTACGTCCCACCAATAACGAATTATTTTCTTAATGAAGCATTTCCTACTTCCGCACTGGGAATGAATAACTGAAATCACATTCTGCATCGTTTGAAACCCCCCTAAAGCGCACCGTTTTCCTTAAAAATGCTTAATAGTAGAGAAAACTCAAAAATAAGCTTTTATAAGTTTTAAGAGAACGTCGGAAAAACTGCATGTTTAACACTTTTTGAGGCTCAAATACTCGAAAACCTTCATCTGAGGTTAAAAAATTCAAAAAGCTCAGGACGTAAATGTCAGCGCATATCGTTGTCAGTCTATGAGTGGGAACCCAAGCTCACACTGTTGCAGACATACACTGAGGACAGTTTCTTAAAACCCTCCTGCAGCCGAATATCTCAAATCAAAAATGTATTCCATCAAACTACAGAAATGTGTTTGAACTAGTCCGGTTTACTTCAAAAGTTGAATAATTCCCATTAATTCAGATTCATCACCATCACATAACATCCTCAGCAATCCAACAACAACAAAGTGAAAGAGAAGCTACAATGATCAACTTAGAAGATCCACTGGATTCATGGTTAAATAATAATTATACGACAAGTCGTAATCAACAAGAATATCGAACAGCACAATCTGCTCGGCCAAGACCAGTGATAGCACCATTCGATATTTTTGCCGATATCCGTGCAGATATTTTTGCAGCAGCCGCTATTCACCATCCAAAGCACAGGAAATGTTGCCCACGTTGTTCACGTTGTTGCTGTTGCTGTTCCTTCTGCCTTATTTGTAGCGTTATTCTATTCATTATTTTTGTTTTTGCTGTACTAGTTAATGTTGGTGTAATTTAGCCAAAGGAGGCAAAATAAAGCACGAGTTTTGTTTTCGATATATCGTTTTTACTACTGATGCTAGAGAGTCGGTTCAAACGCCATTCGAAAGTTTGAACATCACTATATATAAAAATAATTAATACAGAAAACTACTCAAGTTTTATACAAAAAAGCTTTGTCTCCTCAAAGTGCTGTGTTTCTGGCTCATCGAAAACGACATTACAAGTTTGAAAATTTAGTTCTATTATTGTACAGGTCATAGTTGTAGACTTCCAAATGCACAGGATGAACCATCTGACAGTGATGTCCAATCAATGAGTCCCACTAAAACGACTCATTGATTGGAGCTAATATACCAGTAAAACAAAATTTCCTTCACTATCTGTTAACTGGAATCAAAATTGAAAACTGAATTTATTTAAGAGTAATTTGTTTAAAAATCTGTTTTTCTCTGCTTCGTTCTTTCATCTAAATTTACAATTGCCTTCGTCACATTGTGTAATTTCAACATTTCGCCGCTGTTTTATATGCTAAAAATCTCGGATTGATCTTGAAATGTAGCCAACACCTTTCTTCACGGCATAAGAAAGCCCGATTTTTGATTTCTGTTCTTGTCACTGAGGTAAACAAAAAGTTTCCGAGAAATGAATAAAAAGCAGGCTAACTTTTGGAAAACGTTTTGTTTACCTCAGCGGCAGGTGTTGGCTACATTTCAAGATCAATCTGAGATTTTTAGCACGTAAAACAGCGGTGAAATGTTGAAATTACACAATGCTACGAAGGCAATAGTCGATTCAGATGAAAGAACGAAGAAGAGAAAAGCAGATTTTTTGGTGCCCTTACACTCTGAAAAAGAGGACTCCTTAAGAAAACTGAAAGTGTGTGTTTCATTTATCCCAAATAGAGATCTGATCTGACTTTTCTGAAATCTGTAAAACTGATTTTTTCATTTTCCGGAAGAACAGAAATTGACATATTTTTAGATCCGTGTTTGGAATATTCGTTTTCCACTATATATAAAAATAATTAATACAGAAAACTACTCAAGTTTTATACAAAAAAGCTTTGTCGCCTCAAAGTGCTGTGTTTCTGGCTCATCGAAAACGACATTACAAGTTTGAAAATCACCTGCAGGTGCTATTTTTTAGCATATTTTTATGACAAATTATAGCTAATATCTTTCTATTTCATATTTCAAAGAACTTAAATGAGATGTCCAACTCGTTCTCTGAAAACAGGAAGAACACGTATTCTTAAGAGCGTAGAGAAATGTTTATAGCGTTTGCTTGAGATATCACAGAGCTTAGCAACGTCTCATTTTGAAGAAAACGCTTTTCTCTGTATAAATAACTGTTTCACAACATTTTGAACAGTCAATACACATGTGGACAATTTTTGCAAAATGAACAACTATGAATTAGGATTTTCAGTGGTCATTTTGCAGAAGGCGCTTAACTGTATATTGCGATATCCATGCGGAAAACAAATTGCGTCTTTTGAATACACAATAGGCCAATGGTCACTAATACCGAAATCTACTGTTTCACCTCTAAAAGTCATCATGTCTGAGATTGTTAAATCAATATTACGCAAAGAACGTTTAGAAGAATTAAAAGAATTTTTAATATATAGTAAATTAGTTTTACTTATCCAATCCTCTAGAATTGCGCCTCGCTTGTCTGTCAGCGGACTACCCCACTGTACCACTGAAGCATTAAAAGCACCTGATAAAATATTATTTTTAATAAGATAAGGTTTTAGATCATTCAAATCTTTGTTCTGGCATCTTGGCCAATATAAACCAATTATTCTTAACGATTCTGAAAAACCTCCTACATCTACTATAACTGTATTTGGTAAATTGATTTCTACATTAATTGTCTTCAGATGCTTTGCTATTGCAACGCATACTGCACCACTATGATTTGTACCACGCTGATGAAAAATGTTAAAATCGGATAGTTTAAAGCTATCCCACTGAGTTCCAGCCTCAGTGGAAACGCACAGCGAAGTATCCACTCTGTGTACCAAGTCTAAAACTTCTAGTTTTTATCTTCAATACAAAACAAGTGTGTTAATAAAGATAACGTTTTCTGGACATTTTTGTCAAGAATATATAGGCCAAAAGCATTGCTTTTCTCTAAGTTAGTAGTGAAAAATGACATAATTACTGATATCCAACAAATAACAGAGGAACTGTATAAGTACTATGAGAATCAGTTTAAGCCTCCGGCTCTGGATCCAACAGATCCACACGATATCGAAATAAAAAACGAATATTTAGAAATTCTTTCCCTGACGTTAGTCAGGATCATATAAACTAAAATGTTTTGTGTGTCCACACGAAGAAATAAAAAACTTAACTCTTGAGAGAAACGGTGTAGATGGCTGTAACTTGGGGACTATATGAACATAAGCTTTAACGATTAATGTTACTATATTCATTGGATTTTCAGCTGATACTGCTTGAGGCTGTGGTCGGTTTCTGTCCTTCATCGACAACATATCTAAAACTAAAGGTGTTGCAGAAGCTTATCGGTGGCATATGTGAGAATCATGCAGTGCACACATAAACTTGCACGTCAGGGGATCCAGTGAATCGAAGATGAACGTTACTTATTAATAAATTATCTATAAATTGTAACGCAGTTTTACCAATAGTATAAATCAAATAAGTAAACTCATGAAAAAGTTAAAACTAAAAAAATAATCGAAATTAGACTCGGTCTCAAACTTCATGATCAAGCTTCTACCGCCTGCGTACATTGAAGGTTTAAATTCTTGTTCTAATACTTGATTAAGAATGTAGATACGCAGATGTTTGGAAAATAGCCAAGCTCGTTATACTAAATAAATCAAAAGCAGGACCGCCTGCATTTGACCAGACTCGTCCGATATCTCTGTTAGCTAAACATTCAAAAATTTTTACTGTCTTTTAGACCGAACTGTTTACTGTCTACACGCGTATTATCGATATTTCAAAAAGTAAAGAATAATTTCACTACTAATATTCCCACGTTAGCTATATATGAGGATTATCAAAAAGCCTATGACAACGTATGGCATATGGCCCATATTGTAAAACTATTTAGATTAGGAATGCCATTAGAGCTGTTAAAAATTGTTTATTCTTGGTTAAGCGACAGAAAAGCGTATATTATCCTAGACGAAAAGGGATCGAAGGTTTTTTATCTACACATGGGTTTGCCACAAGGCAGTAGTTTTAGTCCGTTTCTATTCATTGTTTTTCATAGCGACCTGATCCCCTGTATAGGCGCGCGCATCACGACATGTTTTTGCCGACGATCTGAATGTTCTAATAACTCCACCGATAAATAAGAAATTAAAACCAATGTTAGATTATTTAGAAAAAGAAGGAACAAAAGTGTGTAAATGCAATCGTTGTCGAGTAGGCAGAAATGTTTCAGATCCGGAAGGACAAATACACGATGGTATCGTGTGGTGTTGTGGATCGTGACTGCTATAATGAGTGAGTGTGAAGGTGGACTGGTTACTAAACCACTTAATAAACGTAAGACAAAGTCTGGTTCGCTTTCCACTCCGTCTATAGGATGGCGAGACAATTGCTGGAACGCCTCGGGACTGCTCGCAGAGAGTGAGATTTCAGTGCTGATCATGAGTTTAGATGATAGTTCGATGATGGCAGCCGGCATTTTTAGAATCTCCAGTGCTGTGAGGAGGTTATAGTTAAGGATGTGTACCGTGTGACATTCTATTACAGAGGATTTATTTGGAGTACTGGGTACTGAATCTCACCACGCTGCAGTGAGATTCACCAGTAGTTTTTCGCATAACATATCGAGGCATGTATTTGCCAAATGATGTGAACTCGCGCAGATGTAGCAGTATTTTGGGGTAATCGAACGGGTCGACAAAGTTGCTGCCACGTGAGTCGTGGTTAGAGGATTTGCTGACTGTTGTGATCGACCTAAAAGCACCTGTTCCGCCGCTTTTACTAAAAGTATTTAGATGTACCAAATAAAATATAATTTTCACGTTAGTGTCTCCAAGGATCAAAAAAAGTTAGGTTAAATAATCGCCCAAGCATGAAAAAGTAAGCTAGTAGCGCCCGCTGAAGCTAGCAAAACATCCTTCCGTATGGTTTTTTCTCTTTTCAGAAATGATGAGATGTTTGAAGAATTTTGACAACGTTAATGTTGGTTAATTCCGATATTGAAGAGGATGTTCTAAGCATTTTAGTTAAATTGTTTGTTTTGCTTTCTTTTAAATTGTTAAAAATGCACGTTCTTTCTTGTTTTTCTAGATGCTTTAGAATTTCTGTTTCTTAGCAATATTTTTAATAAATGATGTTGTATCACATCCAGATACTGCATGAATACTTAAAATAACTTTAGTGTCGACGAATGGAGATATTTCCTTAACGAAAAAGAAATAATTTTTAGAAAAACTCATCACAAGTTTAAGCTCTTTTATTCCTATTCTAGCTAAATCTCTAAATTTTCATTTAATTTCACATTTTCAAGCGAAAAGACTCCTACTTCAGCTATTTTTGAACAATTCACATATTTTTGTTGTTTATTTGTTGCCCGATCAATTATGACTTCTAAATCTCTGAAGTCTGGTGAATATGCTAATGCTAACAGAAATATATGTGTCCGATGATTGTATAACCACGCTGTTGTAAGCATAAAACTCACTGACATTTCTCAGATGAACAAATAACCGTGTATCTACTCCAGTATGGTTTGATCTCAATAGAATATCTTCTCTTATTGCACTGTTTGTTAAAACATAACATTTTTCATCTGGATCGGAGATGTATAACAACTTTCCAGGGGGTAATACGGTAAACATTGATAGCCAAACATCTCGAATACAGGCGGCAAGTGCTGCACGATTTTGTCTAACGAATGTATTATAAACGTGAGATATAGATGATAATGGTGTATTGATTGTTAGTTGATGTGTGTTGAGTCGTCGATCAGAATGCTGTTTAATAAGCGATTTAACGTTATTACTTTGATTATTGTCAAATAGAATATCGATTCGTGCGTATATTGAAATATGTTGATCAAGAATAGATTTTAACAATTGTGTTGCATAACACAATATGGTATCACCTCATTTTGGAGGACGGTGAAGAATAATACCATCCTGTAACATTCAAAAATCACATACAGTGAACGATAAAGTACTTAACATTCAGAGATATAAGATGCAAACATTTGCTGTGTTGATGTCAAAAATCTAACTGGAAAAGAAAACTTTTATATATCTGTTTCACATATCTCCTTTAGGCAGTTGTATTCTGTTGATTTCATCATGTTTTACTCGGTCTTTTCTTCGAAAACATGATGCAATCATTTTTGGGTTTTTAGCTATAATTGGACTCTCAGTAAATTCGTATCTTAAGTAATCGACTAGATTTATTTGTGTGTTTTGACTACTCATCACAATTATATCACGTAATTTAGATTCTAAGTAATGATGGGTCTAGAATATTGACAAATCGCGTTGTTTCACAGTCGACATACCTGAGTTATAAATTATACTCACTTTTTTTCCTGTTTTGTGGTGGTTTAGTGCGTACGTGCCAGCATTGATTAATTTCATTGTTTTCATCGTTGACATTTTTGAATCGATATAGATTGATTTATCGATTAAACGTTTTTGGATAAATGTTTTAAGTTCTTCTTCACCACGACTGTAACTATTACAAATATCGTTCACAATATCATCGTGAATTATTTTGCCAGTAAATAATTCTGTAACACTTTGACTTTCCGCATCAAATAATTTTTCGTCGGCTATTTTTATTACTAATCGTCTTAAATCTTTGTTGTCAATTACCAAACGATTTTGCTGGCATTCAATATGCCCATCGTTTGTATCAGTATCGATTTCTGTTATATCGTTAATCGCCGAATAAATTAGCGTTCGAAACACTAACGTTTGACAGAATTTGTCAATTCCTTGAGCACTAAATTGTCCACTGATGCCATTTCGTCCTTTGCCTAAGAATAAAGGAGAGAGCTGTATTTTTAAGTCAAGAAAGCAGTGTGACGGTTCTCACCTATCCGGTTGATTGAGCTTTCTAATGCCTGATCAACGGGCACACCTGAAAATGGACGTTTTGTTCTTTTAACTGCAAATGACTCGGAGAAATGTTGTTGCAAAGCTAATGGCATCGATCGAAGATCAGCAAGGTTACGTGCACCAAGCTTAGCATAACGACGACGATTGTGTGAAAAAAATAATGGTACCATACGGCTCCAACATGCATTTCTAAGATCAAAATTTTGACTTCGAACCGCAACCAGCAATTGAACACATGCTTCTAACAGAAACCGAAATATCCAGTACCAGAATCGAAAACACACCATTTTATTTGATTGCCTCGTGCAAAATTCGTTGAATTGTTTTTCAAAGTTGATTTGACTAGTTGTTGATAATACTTGGTGGAACCATTTTTGCTTATACTCGTCTGTATGAAATGTTGTTGGTGTTTTATTTAATAATTCACGTATTGAAATATGTAAATAGTTTGATGATAAATACTCTCGCATTAAACAAATACCAAATGAAGCTAGAACACATTTATAAACTACACAGATAGAAGGAGGCTATTTTTTATATGAATAATCGAACTACTACTTACTATAGAGTAATTTAATTGTTCTAAGTGATTTATTAAAATTTGTAACATTAAAAACTGACCGTAACGTTGCTCCTTGGAAAATACAGCCAATTAATTGATGTACACCTGAGCCGTCTAATATTGTCCATATCATTGCCATATAATTTTTTAATGCGTGGAAATCACCGGCCATTAAATAAATATTATCAAATCGATGTTTGTCTTTGATCTTCACCACATTCTGAAACATTACTTCGTCCATCACCAAAATTGCGTTTTTCTGAATAGAAAAGATGTTAAGAAAATCTGTCTTTTACGATCTCTGTGTATTCTAAGCTTGTTGTTCGCAAATACTTGTTTACCTGAAAACCTGAATCGACGAGTTGAGTTTGAGATGTTTTCAGAATGGCAAATGCAGCTTCATCTGATGTTGGTATTTCATTTATAGGTGAGCAACACATAATTGTGTGAATTGGTTTTTCTTCATGTCGCAAATAACTACTAAAGAATCCGGATAATAACGGACTTGAAAATTTTTTCTCAAATGATTGATATTGTGCCAATGTATAACAAAACAGATATATGTTGAACGTTGTATTAATAAACGGTCCGTATTGATTGTAAATAATTGTTTTTGGGTTGTTGATGTTATTGACAGCCGAAATGACAGTATGAGGTAATAGAATATGGAAATCAATTCACCTTATGATTTTGACAAGCATTTACCAGTGAAATAACATTGTTAGGCAAGTAAACAACGATAGATACACTTTGTTATGAAAGAAAAAGTCATCGTATTGCTCCTTGTTTTTGTCTTAGGTTTTTTCTCTTAATCTTCTTCATCTTCCTTCTTTTATACTTAACAGTCATATATGTCTGTGCATATGAAAGCATATTGTGGCAGTGAAGAAGTTACTTTCTTATTTTGTTGTTTATTGCCTAGTCATCTAAATACTGTGTATGAGCATTAAATGCGATCATGTATAAAAATTTCTTTTCTTTTTCTCTATATTTCTTCTCGATTGTTGTGTTGTGTGGCGATGCTGCAGAATGTGTGTGCTTTAAAAACTTTAAAGAATATGGTTAAACAACCATATGAACAGAATCAGAGAAGTAGAGAAAACTTTT